AAACGTTTCTTAGCCGCCAAGAAGATTTTCAAAATGAGAAGTCCAGCTCTACGCGTACGTACGGCCAGCCTAAGAAATGGAGAACCATGCAACGACTCTTCTTCTGTTTAATTAATTATTATTATCTCGCCGGCCTCTCACTGTCGTGGTCGTTCAAAGCGCTGTTCATGGTCTCGTCTAACTTCACTACGTAATCGTGTTGAGTATCCTGCTGGCCAACAGCTTTGATTAACAAGGTGGCGGCCCACCGGAGTGGTTTGGCGCGTGATGGCACAACGCATGGTCGTCTTTGACCAGGCGGCCGGCTTTGTGCGCACATACACTTCTTTCTAGTAAATTTTATTAATTGGCTCTGTAGTTAAGCATGACTTGTCACCTATCGTGGGAGATAATATTGTATGACTCACAACCTACTTAGTTTACATCCAACTATTGTTCATATTTAAATTTTCCTCGCACAATTTTTTCTACAGCCAAAGCATGTATGACTAATTATTGTTGATGATTACTCAAGATACTCATGAGTGTTCTTACTCAAGTCCAAGAATAAGGTGAAGGTGTCATTCGATGATTTTGACAGGCAATTTCGAGAAATAGATCTTGGCAATTAGAAGCGGCAACGGGCTTGGAGTTCAAGAACTACACCTTAAAAGGATTCTTCATATAGTGATGAGAGTATTGAGCATAAATATTCTGTACCATATACATCTCAATAAAATGAGCCAAGAGGAAGAACCGAACACTAAAGCTGATGGCAATGCCCATGTTGAATGAGTACAAGTCAGCATATAGCTTTTGGGTTGAGCCGTCATCACTGTTTGTCATGCATCAAAACGGCTATTCCTTCGCAAGTGCTTGAACAAGACACAATATGAACTCCTAACCGATAACAAGCAAATACTTTGGGGTATTGAAATGTAAGTGTTGCATTCTCAAGAAAAAAAACCCAGTTAGCCAAATTTTAACCAAAACTATTGAGGGTATATTAGTTGGATGTGGATCAAACTCTCACACCTATAGTCTTCAAACAAATTCAATGGATGTGTTGAAGAAACTTGTGATGTCGTGTTTGATGAATTTAATGGCTCCCATGGAAAGCAAGTTGATCTAAATTATGTAGGTGATGAGAATCCTTCACAAGATATTGTGGCTATGGGCATTGGTGGCATTTCCCCCCTGCAACAAGTTCACACCAATGATGAAGAAACCTCACGTATCATCCTTGTTTCTCCCCGCTCTGAATCACAAGAAGATCACATTGCTCAAGATGAGCCAATTATCCAAGAACAAGAACACGACCATCCTCATCAAGATGCGTAAGATCAACAAGAACACGTCATTGTGCAAGATAAACAGCAAAATGTTTGGATACACATTTACATTCTACAAAGCCTAAACTTGCTAATTATTGAAGTAAAGTTTGTAGTTTTACCTATTCACTCCTTCTTTAGGTCCATTTTGGTTACCTTTTATCCTCCATCAATCCACCCTCCCCCCCTTGTCGGAAAAATATGTTCATCCATGTTGCAGACATTTTGCTTGTCGGGCCATCACGCGTGGGCCTTTCCTTCTCCCACTTCTTCGCCATCACATGTCTATTCCTTTTTGGCACAGTCCCTTGTCGATCCGCCCCTCCACCCGGCTCATCGTCGTCATCCAATCCAATAGACTGATGATAGCTTGAGCCATCGTTGTTCTTCATCTTCTTAGTGGGTTTCTTGACATCTTCATAGAGGGTGCATCACTTTGGTTTCCTATTCAACGCTATCCAACGATGGCATAAAGTGAATGGATTTTTCTAAACTTCATGGTACAAAGTGGCAGTGAACCCGAGCTAGCAATCAAACATTAATATAATGGCACAAACAAAAGCAAGCAATAAAAATGACGACCATGTGAAGCAAACAAAAATGGCGTGGCTTTCGTCCAACCCTAGTTTGTTGCATATTTCATCATTTGTGCATACAAACTACAAAACATGTCCAAGGACTCTTGGATGGTGGACTAACTTTGCTGGAGAGAGCCCTTGTTACAGGTGGTATAAATTGGTTTTGGCTCCAAATAGTGTTGGTGTTAATGGTACCAAGCATGATTTTTTCCACTACTTTGATTCCTTTTGCTCGGTTCCACAAATAGGATACATGTTTGTGGCCAACCAAGCTCTACACAATAAGACATCTTCGTGAGTTGATAAAGATGGTCTTCTTTCCTTTGGAGCCTTGTTTTTCCGAGTGCCCGATAATTTCCCAACATTATAGAAAGGCGAATTGGTATCACCATTTCATAAGTTGGCGGTTTTGACCGTCATTTATCAAATCCATCATGAATGAGCCCTAAAGATGAATAACAATGAAACAAAAAGCCTACCATTTATCCTAAAATTCGTATGGGTCAAGGAAAAACCTCTAAATTTTGGTTTGAACTATCCTTAAACAGTTGGTGGGCATGTCTGGCGTCGAAGATTACCGACATTGTCCACGATCGTCAGAGTTGCAGCGACTCGTATGCCATTCCGGGATCTGTCCTCTTCCACCTACATGAAGTCATCTGGGATGCCCCCCCCATTATGAAGGCGGAATGACGTCGGGTGCGGGGCGTGGCAGAGAACGAGAATGCAACAAACTCCATTTGGACGACATCCTTCTCTGCCTTCTGAGCCTTCTTGCAGGCGTTTTCCCGGGCATGCCCCTCCCGTGGGGCGATAGTCTTGGTCTTGTTCACGATGTTAGGGATCCTGAAGGACTCTGCAGAGCCATCCACCATGGGGCGGGCGGACGATGGAGCGAGCGTTGACGACTAGGACGGAGGAGGAGGTCCATCACGTTGACACGGTGGAGAGCGAGGTGCAGATAGAGGATAGGGAGGAAGGACTCGGGAGAGAGGGCGGGAGGCATTTGGGGTGGGTTTGAGGGGGGCTGGACAACCCAGACAATATGGTTTGGGTTTGGGATCCGGTTGAGTGGCGTTTTTTGTTCCATTCTTGAACCATATTTGGTTTCGATTTTAACAAAAGAACTACTATTGCATGCATCTGAATAATTAAAGAAGTCCCTGCAAAAAAAGAATAATTAAAGAAGCCTTTTGGTGGAGTGCAATATTTGAATAGCTTGTGTGCCTCTAAGCTGCAAAATCTTCATGTGATTGGTCATATGCAAGTGTATCTGCGACAGATCCCCCGGCCAAGTGGTAGCTTCCAACATGTGATTTTTTGGGACAGAGATCCGGCCCACAGTCAACCACTGCTAAGTGAGAGGATCTATGTCAGACTTTTTGTGGTTCCTGTAGGGTAAGTGTTCGTCATCTCCTTCCATGTGTTAGTACCATTGACATTTTTGCAGGTGCTAATGCCATCTTTTTTGTTTTTCCACAAGCCTTGTGTTTGACATTATACATCATCACCTAATCAACACTATATGGCTTGTGCGCAGCAATTGATGCAAAGGCAAGAGTTGTTATCCTTCTTTTCGAAAAAAAACATTGGCATTTGCATGGCATGCTGGTTTCATCATGCAAATCATCAACCATGCATCAATACTTTTTTTAAGCATGTCGGCTCGATTCCGATAGTCGGGTTGACAAAAAGGAAAATATTTTATTTTTCAATTGAAATAATAGGCAAATAGATTACTATAATGGTATATATAAGGAAAAACATGTATGCAAGAAATTACAAAAAAGCCAATTTTGCAGGCCTAGATAGGTCTTTCTCTCTGCCCTATGGTTAACTCCTTTGAAAGTTTGCCCCATATGATGTAACTAGGCAAAATATATCAAAAATATAACCATTTATGCTTCGCCATATCTTTAGGCAGTTTTTTTTTGTTGTTACTGGAAATAAGATAACTTAAATAGTTGCAGTTATAATATCTGTAGGGCGCTCTCAATGCTAGTTTCTTAGCATGAGTTTATAGGCAAAAACATAGACGGGGCACACCAATTAATGAAGAAAAAGAAGGAAGATGTAGTTTAGCGAAGATACGGGTCTTGGCACGTTTCTGTGCACAGTGTAATTAATGTATTAATCTGGTGCGTTTTCTTTTTCTATGTTTCCTCATTTGCTCTTCTCTACAACTATGCCAAAATATTAAGATGCATATGTGATCCATAAACCTTATTTGCAAAAAACAAAATGTGATCCAGAAACCAATTAAATGCAGCATCACTTAGAAACAACACCTAAAAGACAGTGCATTGGGGTGATTGTCTCTAATTTATTATCACCTAGGATGACAAATTAAGAGCTAATGCATTGGGAGCACCCAAAAGAAGAAGCTCACTTGAAGTTAATGCTCCTAAGCATATAAAAGTATGTGATGATTAAATTAATTAAAATAGGGTGCGTTGAAGAAAGATGACATCTTATATAATGTACCCAGTTGGCTAGGCTCGCAAGGAGCGAGCTAGCCCAACCGGGCTTGAATCCTCAGTGGCTCGTGGTGCTAGTCCTGAATGGTCTCCTTTTTTTAATAGTATAAAATAATGTATTGTTTCTTACAACTGATTTTAAAATTATCATTTCCTTCGTTGATTTGCTAAGCTAGAACCTAACATATGTTAATCCTAAAAAAAAAGAACCTAGCGTATGTTTAGATTATCATACGCGCCAAAAAAATGGGGTTTTCTGTTTAGACCCATCTCTGTCAACAGAAGAAAATAAAAGAAAAAGAAGAAGAAACCCTTGCACAACATCCATTGGTCACCCAAAAATGGTGTTTGGTGTTGTGCTGAGCCGCAGCGGATGCCAAGTCTTACAGGCCTCGCTTCTCCTTCCTTTCGCAGGCAATAAACCCCCGACGAGTTCTCTCATTTGATTGTTTCCTCTCCAGACGCGAACCTTCCTTCTTTTCAACCCAAAATCACCGATAATAAAAGCCGCGGTTCCCCGATCTGTTCCGGTCTCCAAGAACCCGTCTACCTCTCCGGTCTCTCTTTCCCCGCGAAATTTGTCTGCGATTTCGTGGAGCGATTCCGCGGCTTCTCGCCGGTCGCCGCTCTCCAGGATGCGCAACCTCCTCTCGGTACGATCTCTTTCCCTGTTGTTTAACCTCGTGTTAATCGTTGATTCTTGTGGTGGTTTTGGGGGCGTAAATGTGAAATTAAGAGGTCCTGCCACGGGGTTCTTGTTTTCTGTTAGCCAACTTTGAGTTCTTGGGGGGATTTACTGAATTGTTGTGTCAAGACTTGGATTATGCTTAGGATTAGTTCGTGACTGGATCGGCCTTGATGAACCGCGTCCCGACTCCAACTAGATGTACTGCTGAGTTGATGTTTGTTAAACTTTTTAGATGTTTATTTTTGGAAAGTTCAGCCTTTAGATCTTTTGTGGAATTGAGCATCTTGTTGACACTGGAAATTTCAAGGCGAAGAGAAAGCGTGTGCACTGCTAAATTTTGTTCACCATTTGTCATGGACACGTTGATATATTCTTCAAGACAACATAAGTTTCCAAAAGTCTCTTATTTTCTGCGTGGAGGGTAACACAAAAATAACCTTCAGTTTCTTTCCCCGTGCCTTGATTCCAGATAGTTCGTTCTTCAGTAAGTTTTTTTTTTGAACTGTTCTTCAGTGAGTTTTGGTAAAAGGTACTATCTTTGCCTTTATAAATTATAACACTGAAAAAGTAATTCCATAATTACATTTGCCAATTTAACAGAATTCGTTTGAGCTCAACAAGGAGGAACGTCCCCCAGGGAATGTCGATATTGAGCTAGGTTTGCAAGGCGACCTGTCGGGTTCCGCACAGCCAGGTTTCGATGGCTTCTATGAACAGGTGCCTCCTTTTCCTTTTCTGTATTTTCGAGTCTCTTTGTGTGTGGGCATAGCCGGTATAATTCATGTGGCATGGTTTTCTTCTTGTGAGTTGAGCTCTGTGTTATTATGACATTCAGGTCAGGGAGATTAATAAGTTGCTTGAGACGTTGACAAAACTACTGAAGGATCTTCAGGTGAGTAAGAGTACCAAATTGGAGTTGTTCAATTTATCTAAGTTCAAAATAGGGTCTCTTATAGGAGTTTGGACCACTAAACCTCAGTAGTACTTCAGAGTTTGTGGCTTTCTATATTGTCAGGTGTCACATATGGCCATATGCCTATATGTTGTCAATCGAGTGCTGTTTCCTTTTCATTCAGAGTATACCGGCTTCTGTCATAACAAGAATGCAAATAAGTTGATCTTTAAATAACGTTATCTGTCCCCCAAACCAGTTTAATTGAACAGTTATTTTAACAATCATGACATCCATCTCTATAACAGTCTTGGATCTTTATGTAGAACTCAAATGAGGAATCGAAGGTTGTCACTAAGGCATCAGCTATGAAAGGTACTAATTTTGATTGTTTTCTCCAAACATCAGAGGGCAAACATGATTTCCCTTTCTCCAATTTCTTTTCCGATTTGTTCCTTTTTTTTTTGCGGGACGATTTGTTCCTTTTTATGAATTGCAGATATCAAAAGGCGCATGGAGAAGGATGTTAATGAAGTGACAAAAGTTGCACGGCTCACAAAATCAAAACTTCAGCAATTGAATAAAGAGGTGAGTTATTTTGCGCTATGCCTAGGACTTTTACCAACTAATGCATGAGAAGTACGCATAGTAATCCAATAGTATTCCTCTATTCTTATAGATTTGATGTATGTATTTCTCCACTATAATTAATCACACGCTCCTCTGATTTCTTTTTACAAGAATCTTGCAAACAGAGAAAAGCCGGACTTTCACAAGGGATCAGGTGTGGACCGATCTCGGACCTCAGTGACAATGTATACTCCTTCTGGCATCCTCTTGCTTGTTTTTCTTTTCACTTCTATTCTAGTTTATGCATTATTGATTCCACTTCATAATAATCTTATGTGCAGTACATTGACTACGAGGTTGAGAGAACGCATATCAGAGTTTCAGGTACGCATTTCATCAACTCTTGCACAGAGTCTACCTGCTAAATATGTTATTTTCTTGCTTATAGACCGTAACTGCTGCTACTAAATAGCCCATGTTGTATCAAAAAGGCGAAAGCTAAACACAAACCGCCTTTAGTTCTTGTGGCCTGTCTAACATTTAGTAGTCCGATAAAGCTTGAAAAGCGCTTCAAAATGTCAGTTTATACTACTATGTGACCATACATGCTACTGGTAAATGAGCATGTTATGAAATATGTTTTCAGACACTAAGAGAAGCAATCCAGACGGAGTACAGGGAAGTTGTAGAGCGGCGTGTTTTCACCGGTCTGTTGCCCTTAACTCTCACCATGATGCCAGCCCTTTTGCATTTCAGTTGAGCTGACTTATTTTATCTTTCACTCTGCAAATTTCCAATGAGCAGTAACGGGCGAGCGTGCTGATGAAGAGGTATAAATATCTATCTACTCTCACTTACTTCAAGTCACAATCACTAAGCGGATCCGCATACTGTATGTTGCTAACATCGTGTCGATTTTTTTCAGACTATTGACAAGCTGATAGAAACAGGCGACAGTGAGCAAATTTTTCAAAGAGCTATTCAGGAACAAGGGCGTGGAAGGGTGATAACTCTTTGCCTTGTTTAGTTCTAGTACCAACAGCAATGCATGTTTTGACCTGAATTTCCTGCATTCGCAGGTGCTTGACACACTCCAAGAGATCCAGGAGCGGCATGACACGGTGAAAGAGATCGAGACTAAGCTCCTTGAGCTGCAGCAGGTAAATGACTAAATGCATGAGCACTCTTCCAGAATTGGAAATTTAAAGCCTGGGCATCATCAGTTCACCTGGTATCCGCCAAATGCAGATTTTCCTCGACTTGTCGGTACTGGTTGAGGCGCAAGGCGAGATCCTGAACAACATCGAAGTGCAGGTAGGGAAGATTGGTCCATTTCATATAATTCTTTTCCAGCATCGTAGTACTTTTTTGCAAGCTTCAGTTTGTTCCTGACTTTTTCTGATCATGTCTCTGCTGCCTCAGGTTACAGGTGCAGTGGAGCATGTTCAGACTGGAACAAACCTCCTTCAGAAGGCGAGGGTCCTGCAAAAAAACACGCGGAAATGGACCTGCATAGCGATCATCATCCTGCTGATCATCGTACTCGTCATCGTCCTCTCGTTGAAACCGTGGGCAAAGAAGTAGGGAAAAAGAAGCATCACGCTATGCTAGGACAATATACGATATTCCATATCGGAAATGCACTTTGGCACATGGGAGCATGCTCCTGCTATTGGAAAAATATTTCAAAATGTCAAAAAAATTCAAACAAAAATTTAACGTGTACATCTTCATATTCTATGCAGGCACGCCAAGTTTCACATAAAACCAGCATTTTTTGTGGTTTGCGTAAAAAAGACAAAAAAATGTCTAGTGAAAAGCCCTTTGCAACACCAAATTTTATCTTTTTCACACGCAACACAAAAATTATCTGTTTTTCCACGAAACAACTTTGTGAGTATATAGAATGTCGAGATGTACGCCCAAAACATTTTGCCAAAATTTTGTGACATTTTAAAATACGTTTAAAACACATTTGAAAAAACAGGAGCATATGCTCCTAGGTGCCAAAACGCCGCTCTCCATTTCATATGATATTTATTGTATAGCTTTTGCTGTGTATACATCAATGCCATATGGTGCCGGAGCCGTCATGTATATTTCTCTGATTAGTTTTTGGTGGGGTGTGAACTTTGTTCGATTTTGTGGTTCGAATAACAAAATTCAGCTTCTGCATTTCTGCCTTTTGTGGCCATAACGAGTGTCATTCTAAGCCGCCAAATGATGACCTTGCGATAGAGTAGTTGTGATATAATGCAATCTTTGTTCTTTTAGACACAATTTATTAAAGAGATCCAATAATTTTGAATTTTCTCCATATAGAGATATCAAAGCGCTTTTTTTCGTACGGTTAAATAGAGATTACTCCATATAGAATTATATGCACCAAACGCGCTACAACCCTCAACTCAGTATGGCTCGACCAAATCACATATAGTTATGTACACCAAACGCGCTACAACCCTCACTCGGCCTTGCTCGACCAGATCAACGTAGAAGCAGGCAATGGACGAAGGTTGGCGTGAAAAGTTTGAGCTATGATGCCTTATGACATTGTAAGCTTTGGGTGTGGCCCCGGTGGGCTTGTAATTTTGGGTGTGGCTTTATCTAACTCTTGTATAAACTCTTTTCTACTCTTTTGAAAAGAAATATAAAAACGTTTAGATCACTACGGAGGAAGTATCAATCAATGCATCGCCCTGCTTTGAATCGTTGTAAGTTGATACGTCTGGATTTAATTTACAGGTGTATAATACCAGTCGTAGTATAGTTTTCGCCTGGAATGAAAACGACAGCGGGAGGTGTGTATCGGGTTTACAGGGGTATCTACGAGCTAAACGACGATCCAAACGGGGCGTAAGGCTTTTGCGCTTTCTCGGAAAAACGAGTGAAGCTGAGAAACATTTTCCATCGGTTTAAAGCCTTAAACCACACTCTCTTCTCTTCCTTTTAACCCTACTCTCTTATCTTAACCCTCGCTCTCCTCTCCTGTGTCTTCGTCCCCCTTTCGCTTTCGCTCTCCCACCCGGAAAAACCACGCGACAATCCGGGCAACGCAGCCATGCGCCCGCTTATCCGAACCGCCTGCCTCCGCGCTCGTGTGCGCGCCATGGCCACGCTTCCCACCACCGCCGCCTTCTCCTCCACACGCGCCCCTTCCCCATGCCCCTCTCCTTCGCGCGCCCGTCGCCTGCTCGTCGCAGCCCGCTTCCTCCCCTCAGCACCGCCGCCGCCGGCAGGGGCACGGGCGCTCCGGACGTCCGCGGCGGCGGCGGAGGCCGCCGTCGAGGTGGGCGGCGTCAAGATCGCGCGAGAGGGTGAGTTCTCCTGCCCCTGGTGCTGACGGCGGGATCTTGGGGACGGTTAGTGGGCCTCGGAGGAGGAGGGTTCTAGAATTTGGCAGTGGGGAGAGAGGTTTTTAGGCTTGGTTAACTTTGGCTGCTGGCATTGTTCCGCACTAGAACGTTTTTTTTACCATGACCAGGCATAAAAGTAGTCTTATAACGGGATTTAGGAGGAAGGTGAAGTTGATACGCCTAGTGCTCACATTCTTCCGGAGCTTACCGGCAGTATAAGTGCCACGCGGTCGATCGAATGGTTGGGTTCCGGGATGGAATGTCGTTGATTAATGTGCTAATATCCCAATGGAATTTGGTGGGGAGTTAAATCGCAATGTATCACAGCGCCGTGTCAAGTCTCAAGCTAGCAGGCGCTGACTTGTTTCGATGTCCTTTGTAGATGTCGTCAAGGAGGATGACCCGACGAACAATGTGCCAGACACCATTTATTCAAAAATAGGTATTCAGCTGCACAGGAGGGATAACCACCCTCTAGGGATTCTCAAGAATACTATCTACGATTACTTTGACAAAAGTTTTCCTGGCCAGTTTGTCAAGTTTGATGACCTCTGCCCTCTTGTTTCTACTAAGCAGGTATGATCTACCAATAGCTTATTGCTTATATTAGCTTGGATATAAAAGCTGAATGTTAGCTAAGAAGACCCTACATTTTTATGGTAATCACTTAAACATGGTGCAGCACTTGTGCCTAACTAAGGGCAATTCTAATTATATGGTCAAATGAAACCTGGCACTTGGGGTGGAAAAGAGTGAGGAAAAAACACTAAGATTCAAAATTGTGAAAGGGTCCAATTGCTTGTTCCTTTGCTCTCCTGCTATCCTCCCTTTTCTAGTGAACGGTCACTTAGTTGCTGTGTTCTGGTTCTCCAGATTAATAAATCTACAACTAAAACCAACTATGGTTGTTCTTACCTTCTCACTGACCTTGAGGTGGTGCATTCTGCAGAACTTTGATGATGTCTTGGTCCCTGCCGACCATGTAAGCCGGAGTTACAATGACACATACTATGTCGATTCTCAAACAGTCTTGAGGTGTCATACCAGCGCTCATCAAGCAGAGCTGCTAAGAGAAGGGCATACACACTTTCTTGTAATTGGAGATGTTTATCGTAGGGATTCTATTGATTCAACTCATTACCCTGTCTTCCATCAGGTAACTGTATTTTCCCAGATTGTACTTAAATGTTTTCAAAATGTGTTATGAATTCTATTGATCTTTCACACATACAGATGGAAGGCTTTCGTGTCTTCTCTCCAGATGACTGGTCAGGCTCCGGAATGGATGGGACAGCATATGCAGCTACAGACCTCAAGAAAACGCTGGAAGGCTTGGCAACACATTTATTTGGTAAAAAATGCCTTGGCTTGCTCCTTGTCATCAAAGGCAATGATAAAATAGCTTCACATGTCAGCTAAACTAGATGAAAATATGTTGTGTGCAGGTGCTGTGGAGATGCGCTGGGTTGATACTTACTTCCCATTCACCAACCCATCCTTTGAACTCGAAATATATTTCCAGGTTTGTTGTAGTAAGTGAATCAAAGTAAAACATGTTACACAACTTGCGTCTTCATGGTGCCTGGTCTGAAAGAACTGTATCACCTTTTGTAGGGTGACTGGTTGGAAGTTTTGGGATCTGGGGTCACTGAGCAGGAAATTTTAAAAAGCAATGGTAGGACAGATCATGTTGCATGGGCCTTCGGACTAGGCTTGGAACGACTAGCAATGGTCCTCTTTGATATTCCAGATATTCGACTGTTCTGGTCAAATGATCAGCGGTTCACATCCCAGGTATTGCTGCTACTATTGGATTGTTGGTTATCTCACTATGTTCACATATTAAACAAATACTGCATACTGCTGAGCCACAAATCGTGTGAAAAGTAATTATCGATGTTGAAGCAATATAGCCTCTTAATCTATCTCTGTCCTCTGACTTATGTGCTGATCTATTCAACAGAGCTCATCTTTCTATGCCACCCCCTTTGATCTCTAGGATTACTAATTTGCTGTATTTATAGATTATAAATTTTGGAAGACCGAGTGTTTGATCTCTAAATGAAAATCCTGATAGTGTTGATTTTAGTTACTAGTACTAAACTTGAAATTCTGATGTGAAGAACTTGTGCTTTCTATTTCTAAGAGTTTCGCAAGAACAACTTATGTTTCCTAATGAGTGTTTAACACTTGACATAATAACTGATATGTTTGTTCCTGAGTTCTGACATATGCTCAAAACTCAGGTTACTCTCTTTACTTCAGTTGGTATACCTCTGGGCCATCTTTTTAGTGCTATTGCAGTAATATCAGAAAATTTAGTTAACAGAACAAAACTTTGTCCATAACTCTATGCTGAACTGATTTTCTTCATATGCACACTTTCAACTTTATGGCTAAGATATGTGTATTGTTATTATTCAGTTCTCTAAAGGCAAGCTTGGGGCCAAGTTCAAGCCATTCTCGAAGGTATGCAATATCATTTACTACGTGTATCTGTATATCATCCGTGGATAAAATTAATTTGTTCTAGAATAAAAGTGGTTCTGCATCTTGCGAAATGCTAGAAGGTCACTAGGATGCTGGAGATAATTGCTCCATCTGGTTGAGCTCATTTGACTATGCAAAGTACGCCCACTAGAACAAATTAAACCAAATCTTTGTGCACCCATTAGTTTGGATCATCTAGCATTAGAAATTACAGCTTAAATTGTTTGTGACATCCATCTAATTGGTAAATGTGGCTAAATTTGGATTAAAAATTGTATCCTAATATGATTTGCATTGATTGCCGCAATTCATGTATATGCACTTGCGATAATTGCATCAAGTTACCCTAGCTGACTTTTTTCTGTTCTACAGTTTCCACCCTGTTACAAGGATATGAGTTTCTGGATAAATGATGAATTTACAGAGAACAATTTATGTGAGGTTGTCAGAGGAATTGCTGGAGATCTTGTAGAGGAGGTATGCACTCTGATTTGGACGCATGGCTGTAAATCGAATTTGTGTTAAGCACTAGCCATGTCCAAAATTTCTTAGTGAGATAACCAACAATTACTTGTCACTCAATTTGTGGCTCAGCAGTATGCAGTATGCAGTATTTCTGTAGTAAGTGGTACTCCAAAGAGTAGCATAACATTTCTGCTAAAAAAAAGAGTAGCATAACATAGCTCCAAATTAGACGAAGAATTTGCTCTAGTCTCTGCAAGCTTATGGCAGCCTTGCTTTGTACTCTATCCGGCAATGGTTTAGTTAGTGCCAGACTTTCCTTGCATTGTTTGTAGCTCCTTCTGCTAGTATGGTACATTAAGGTTCTAGTTCATTTCCATGGCCCCAACTCTCGTCAGTGTCCACAACTCCACGTAACATGCATACCTATAGGCAAACTCTTTCGCTGTTTAATTTCTATCTTAAAATGTTAGCGGTGATTGTTGGGAGCTTAAGCTCCTTCATCTAGTATTACTAGTTTGCGGTATCATGTAATTTGATAGGTCCATATCTCTACAATCTGAAGGGCTCTCTTTTTGTTTTACAGGTAAAATTAATAGACAATTTCACAAACAAGAAAGGCATGACGAGTCATTGCTACAGGATAGCCTATAGGTCAATGGAACGGTCGCTTACAGACGAGGAGATCAACGACATGCAGGTATGTGCAACCGAGTTACATTATACTATGATTTTTAGGTGCTGTCTTGATTTGATCGGATTCTGATCTTAACTACAATTTGGGTTGCAGTGGAACGTGAGAGAAGAGGTGAAAAGTAAATTGAGAGTTGAGCTGAGATAAAACAGAGCTGGCTCACGTGTTCTTTGTATGTAAATTTGTTGAGAAGTTTATTAATACATGGAGAAATGGAGGCCACTTTGCTCTTGTAATAACCCACATCTTGTCTTTCTTTTCTTTATGAAGGAGAAAAACCCCTTCGCATAGTTAGCACGTTAAATTTTGCTGGATTCCAGCCATTTGAAGATAATTATCCATTGCTCAGTTCTGATTTTTCACTGATACTCCCTCCGTTCCTAAATACTCCCTCTGTAAACTAATATAAGAGCGTTTAGATAACTAAAATAGCGATCTAAACGCTCTTATATTAATTTACGGAGGGAGTATTTGTCTTTTTAGAGATCTCAAATGGAGTACCACATACGGATGTATATAGACATATTTTAGAGTGTAAATTCACTCATTTTGCTTCGTATGTAGTCACTTGTTAAAAACTCTAGAAAGACAAATATTTAGGAACGGATGGAGTATTTGGCAGACCGAACTTGATGAACAGCATTTTCCCGCCACTTATCTTTTCTTCCTTGGTACATTGTTTATCTAGGCACATGCATCTATGGATACATCAGTTCTATTTTCGAGATGGTGGAGCTGATTGTGCAATTGATTGTGCTGTGTACCGTCATGCAGTTTGGCAGTAATGGTCCATTTTGTAATACAAATAAAATCATGATCTCTCATGACAAAAAACACCATCTGGATGTAAAATTGCAATGTCTGAAGAAAATAAACGATGTGAAGCTCAGACTGAAAATCAGAACATTATTCTGTACTCGCAACTTTGTGACCTGAAGAGAAAATCTGATCAGTACAGGCTAACCATTATTCTGTACAGGCTAACCATTAAAGCAGCCCATGCTAAAAATTTACCCTTCCAAAAATCAGTACTACAATTCTGACAGACCCTCATGAATGTTGAAAGAAATGCCGATAAATGAGTGGAGCAAAATATGCTCTCCAACTAGACAAATGTTGAACTGTATTTTTCTTCAATCTCTTGCGGTACTAAATAGCAGACATTCCAGCGAGTTCCCGCAGCTTCTCGCACGCGACGAAAGTGATAGCTGTTTGAGGGCCTAACCTTGCGAAGGTGGCAAACCCACTGAAATTTTTGCAGAGTTTGTTAGGAATTCACAGTGGAAGAGGCTCAAATAGAACTAATCCAAATGGATCGATTCAATCTGTAGTAGCTGTAAATCCCGTAATAATGTTTCAATGTAAAAAATGACGATAACTAGAGCTTTGGATTGTGGTTCGTATAATCATATCGTACTGATCTTTAACTAGTTGCTGTTTTTCATAAGTATACTGGTAAAGTTTATATTCATCAATTTTTTTCTCTCAAGAGTTGCAAATGATTTAACAAAATAGCATGATCAAGACTTGTTGAATAAAGCGAAAAAATTATATATACTCCCTCCGTTTCTAAATATAAGTCCTTTTAGAGATTTCAATATGGACTACGTACTGATGTATAGACATGCTTTAGAGTGTAGATTCATTCATTTTGCTCCGTATGTAGTCCATATTGAAATCTCTAAAAAGACTTATATTTAGGAACGGAGGGAGTATATATGTTATTACGGAGTCCTCACCCTTTATAAAGTGACTTTACACCCTCTGTCAGGACAACCTGTGAACCAAGAAAAGAATGTATAAGATACATTAGCGGCTTAAGATTTGAGATCTGTGACCTCCAAATAAATGAAAGCATTTTTCTTCACACTTAATTCCGAACATAAACTATAAACGTGGCATGGGGTTCTAGAAAATGTGAATCCTCTTATAGTTGGTGGGGATAACTTTCTATATTCCTGTTTTGAATAGAGTGCCAATTGTTGGTACTATGTAAAATAATGCATTTCTACTCTTCAAATATGCTCCTTTCTCATATTGTGCCAACTACTATCTACTAACCATGCATTTTGGTTCTGTGTTAAGCGACTAAATTTAATATTATTTACCAAAGTTTTCCAATTTCATTCACAGACGCACACTTCAAAATACAAATTCACAGCCAAGGATGAAGATTAACACCTGGTAAGCACAGTGGAAACCATTCCTGTATACTCTGGCACCTTTGGACTCCCGTTGCAGCATTAGCCTTGTTTTGATCATGTCAATAGGTGCAGTCACAAGTGTACCAGCTGTTCCAGCGATGCAGCTCGACCTTTCAGCCACACAGAAAAATAGCTATCAACAAATTTCATCCAAGTATAGGCATCAAAATGCAGGATAAATTTCACAGTACATGAGATGTAATTGAAAACCTTCTTCAAGTGGTGTCCACATCAGCAAGACCTAAAGAAAATAAAGAAGAAAATTCAGTGGTGGCTAAATTAGTAGTACATGCGACAATTTCATTGCTTTCAATCAAAAGACAACAAAAAAATAGTGTATACCTGTTTGGCCTCATCATAAGTTGCCATTTGTGATGCCGTGAGGCAGCCTGCTCTCACCATAGCTGGGCCAACTCCTTTCCAAAGCGCTTTGACTCCTTCCTCTGATACAATTTCCCTCGTCACTCCAATTGTACTAATTCTGCTTGTACTCATCTGTGATCTCACCTATAGGATGTGCCCAGATCAAGATCAAATCCATAAAACTATTTCATACTTTGAATTAAGTATCACAGTACTGTACCTTTAAAACCTCCATCGGGTTTGTCAATGCAGTTGCTAGGGCACCAGCAACTACTCCGGATGCAAATTTAAAAGCAAAGTTTGTTGAACCAAATGCGTAGCTGCAGACATGTTTGCAGGGCTCATACAATCCTAATCGAAGGCCACCATAGATGAGGGATCTAGTCAATGCTGGTGCAAATCCCAGATAGAGTGATCGAGGCCCTTCCCTTTCTACCATTTGTGTAAATATTGCCCCCTGATAGGTTTCACTAAAACTATTAAATTTAGCATTAATAGGTGATACATAGATGATGCGACACCTGAGGCTATGCTTACCATTCCAACTAAGTTTCCTCTTTGCCCAGCAAGCTGCATTTGGAGTCTAATTTTGATAACGTCTGCAAGATGAAAATGATGGTACATATATAAAGGGTTTCTTATTTCTTGGAGAAACAAATATACGTAAAAGAGTGGCCATCCTTTTACAACGTTATCATTTAGCAGTATATCAGTAAACAATTCACTGTTATCAAGTCAGAAGCATGACTCAATTTTCAATCCAGGTGCTACTTGACAAATATCTCCGAAAAATCACAATAAATCTGGGCCGTGCGACCTCCTTAGTTTTAGTCAAGCCAATATATGTTTAATTTGCTTTGGCTCCACATACATATGTCCCCTTTTGTTTGCTGATGTTAACCATTATCCACTATGATCCCGACAAAAAGGCTCATTTGTCACATTCTGTTTTTTGGTATCAAACCCTACTAAATGTTTGAATGGGGAAATACACCAAGCCAAGAAGTTAAAATAAATGCACTGATTAGGAGAAGTAATAAGCATAGACAGCATATAATACATGCATTCCATTCAAATACACGTCTCATCTATATCAACATATAGACCATCACCCATGAGGACAGATATTCCCAAAGCACAGCTTATCATGTGCTATGATGGATGAGCACTTTTCAACACAGCCTGTTGTGCTGGGAGAACTATACCTTAACCTAATTCGATTAAAAAAACTGTTGTTTTACTGACACGGTTATTTTCTACAGGGAAAAAATCCCAAGCTTCTATCTACTTAAACATAGTTTCCAGTTCCACCACACATAACAATTCATTGCAAAATCAGATGTGCTTTTCTTTGGAAAGAGCTGCCAATTTTTCATTGACACAATAGAAGAGTTTACAAGGTCTTAGGGTACAAAAAAGGTGCATCTCGACACTGCACGGCACTGCGGCTCAATGGGGACAGAAGCCTACTCTCTCGATGTTATGTGGCGAGCACGCGGCATCACCCAGCATTTTGCCTCATCCTTTCAACTTGTCAAGGAACCGGCCTTCGTCATCTCCTTTCCTTTGAAGAGGCGATGGCGAACGGTAGAATCTGTCGCCCGGCTTCTCAGCCAACAATGTCTAGCACTGATGGACGCAAGTAAACTAAGCCTAAAGCCCTGAACTATGGCAGATTACTGCAAGGCTAGAACATGGTAAGCCCTGAACTATGACAGATTACTGCAAGGCTAGAACATGGTACTAGCAAATCTGTTCTCCCCACCAAACCCAACCCAATATATAATACTGTTAGTTAACAAGTAGCGTGCAGGAGCAATTGGCTGACCGAGCGGATGCGTGACGGCGGTGGCGACGGCGACGGCGGCGCCGCTGGTGCCGAACTGGTACAGAGCGTAAGGCGCCGCCCCACGGGGCGGCGTGCGTGCGTCTCCGGACATCGGCGATGTCATTCCTCTCCGCGCCGGATCCCCCTGGCCGAGTCGCGCGAGACGAAGAAACGAGGGAGGCGAGGCGATCAAGCAGATGGGGGAAAACAAGATTTGAGCTCGGGACGGAGGGAATCGGGTATATATTCTTCTTGCAATTCCTGCTCCGGTTCTCGTGGGGGAGAGCCGAAGAACTATCGCCAGAATCACCACAGGACGACAATTAGATTGTGCAATCGGTCTGTGGTAATGATGTAGAAGATTCATTTCTGCTAGCATCAACAAAGGGCATTTGGTCTAGTGGTATGATTCTCGCTTAGGGTGCGAGAGGTCCCGAGTTCAATTCTCGGAATGCCCCAATTTTTCTCTTCTTTTGATTTTCTTTTATGTATCATGTCTTCTTTCTCTATTTTTGACTTATCTCTTTGTTTTTTATTTTGACAATCATCTTCTCCTTTATTCATTTGTAAGGATCGTAGCATCGCTTACAATAAGAGGAATAAACACATCTGAGGCAGTGTCCTTCCATATATTTGGAGGAGAAAAATCTAGCTATTCTAGCCAGTTCATGAGCTACTTGATTTTTTTTTTCTGTTACAATGATCATAGATGACATGAGTAAAGTCAAGCGATATTAAATTAATAGTCATCAAAGATAGCAGAAGCTATTGAAGAAGAGTAACCATCGATTAAGGCAGCAACAACCTCCACACTATCAAAAATTGATCTCCATTTTTACTCCACCCAACTGTATGTGTCAGGTTCATTTCAAACCTCCCTGCAACTGCCTCCGCCGTGAATGAGTCAAAGCAAAGATCAATCTTTTCATTTGTACTTCCTCCGTTCCTAAATATAGTCTTTTTAGAGATTCCAACAAGTGATTACATACAAAGCAAAATGAGTGAATCTACACTCTAAAATATGTCTACATACATCCGTATGTTGTATTCCATTTGAAATGTCTAAAAAGACTTATATTTAGGAACCGAGGGAGTAGTTGCAATGAACTTATCTCTTTGTTTAATAATATTGCACCAGCCCAAAATCTTCTCTCATGTTTCTTATTTATGGGGCTTATTTATGTTCTTTTGATTTGGTGTTTTCATTTTTGATTCCTTTTGCAGGGAAAACCGGCGACTCATTTAACTGTAATTTCCTCCTGTGGGGAAAGCCGAACATCTGATAAAGGAGCTCCAATCGCGAACGGGGAGCAAATTTGATTGGAGAATGGAACATGACATACCTGATTCCACAGGTGTATATTACTTTATCGTTATTATTACTAGTATTCTACAAAACTCATGCAATCTGGCAAGCAAAGCCTCCTTGCTGTTTTCTGATGCACCAACTTCTGGCAAACAAATATATTTGGGCTATACAATGCAAATTTTCAAGCGAGGCCATCTCACAATCTACTCAAACTGATTGCTGATTCCAAATCCAAACACTTGTACGAAAACCCACAGACATGGATGTGTCTATCACAAGCGAGGCTTGAGTGATGTACTCCTGTCTCCCTTCACAGCGCTAGGGTTGTCCAAAGAATTTGCCAGCGCTCGGAATTTACCATCAACCGCTGAAAACAAAGACAGAGTTATATCAAAATTTACCATCCATTAGGCATCCGTAGAAATAAAACTGCAGATATTATGGCCACACCGCCACACTGACTTTATCTCCAGACAATTATCGCCACCTCATTCAGATATCCAACACATTTTAGTAATTCACACAACTTTGAAAAAAGAAGGAAAAAGAAACATCGTGATTCTACCATGAACAAATGTGAAAACTGGAAACCTGGGAAACGTGCAAAGAAAGTGGCACCTAAGTTGTTTTCCTGACAGTCCTATGGAAGGGGAGGATGCATTTTGAACAAACCTTATCATGTCTTTCTCAGAACAATATCACGCATCAAGCTATCTGGAGCTGTATGACGAGCCATAGGAGAAACGATGTAAGACTTACTACCACACACGAACTCATGGGCAAGCACACAAAAATATAAGCATAATTTTTTTTACCTGGCATGCCCGTGAAATGCTCAAATTGACCCATTGCTTGCCTTATGAACATCTCCAAACCACTAACAACTGTGGCCCCACATTCTGCAGCTTCCTTAAGAAGTCTAGTCTCTTTCGGTGTGTAGACCGCATCGAAGACAACAGCATAAGATTTAAGCGCTTGCTGCAAAATTATATCATTAGTATATGAAACTAGAAATGCAGAAGATATTTCACTGTAATTCAGACTAGCAAAACAAGGAGATTTAAACCTTGGATAGAGGAGTTTCATTGACATTTGGATGCATTCCTATTGCTGTTGTGTTTGCAAGAATCATCCCTTCCTCCGGATGGTAGTTTTCTAACTCCGTGAGAGTCAAAGCAGGCCCACCGATTAAGTTACCAAGTTCTTGAGCACGTGCTGCAAAGTACAATGAAGGCTATGTTTAAGATACAACACACTCAGAATAATTCAAATGTAATGACAAACTGTATAGCTGCCTAAAATATGAAGCAGAGTAAGGATACAATATGAAAAATGATGTGTCTTTTAATATGTAGCATGTGCTCTATGCATGCTGATCAATATAGATAGCACAGGGTCTAGAGCAAATGCATACCGAAAGTGCGGTTTGCTATTACAACTCTTGCTCCCTTCTCTTTTGCACCGTAAGCAAGTGCTTTCCCTGCACCACCAGCACCAATAACAACGAAAAGCCTTCCAGCCAGTGGTGACGTGGTAGAATGCGTTGGTTGTGTTGCTGCCAATTTGTTTAAAAGCCACTTAAATTGAATACTGATCAGCAATAATACAATGGTTCAATATATAGTGGCATGTAGAAACCTCTTATTCCATCTTCAATAGCAGAAATTGCACCGACATAATCAGTATTGTAGCCTACAAGTTTCCCATCAGGTTTTCTAATAATTGTATTAACAGCTCCAATGTCCTGAAGAAAACGGAATACTCCCAAACGTTAATCTGGGTGTCTTAAATGGTTCAACAATCCAATGAATGGAGTAGCAGAAGAAGGGAGGATGAAATTACCCTGGCAATAGGATCAACCTCATCACAGCACCTAACTGCAGCTTCCTTGTGGGGAATTGTACAACTGCAATCCAGTTCATAAGATGGAAAGAATTAACTTCTGGTTGAAATAGAGTACGTGATGTGGCTCACTAAGATTAAGTACCTGAAGCCAGCAAAGTCTGGTGAAGAGTAGGTCGAAAGAAATTTAGCCAAGTCATCCACCAAAAATGGCACATACACAGCATTCAAACCCACTGATCTGAAAGCTTCATTATGCAAAATCGGGCTTTTACTGTGTCCAACAGGATTTCCAATAATACCAAACACCTTAGTATCTGGGCCTATCTGTCTAATGTTGTACACATTGATCAAGTCTGCAGCGGTTGGCTGTGAAGGTGCAGATTCTTTTCCTTTTTCAAGAGAGCCAAAAGTAAGGTATCCACCGAATTTGGGGCAAAGAACACGAGAAATAAAACCTCTGTCGTTCATCACCAGTCCTATGATCGGCACCTGCTTTTCCTAATGCATTATTCAAATAAAAGATAGTGTGAACTAGGAATCCTGCTAAAACACCCGAGAAATGGAGCATGGAGTCATGAACATGTCACGTAGCATAATATCTCACTCAAGTGCGAGAACCCCTAAATCGATGTCAGTGCATCAAAAGTGCATTATCAGCTAAGAAATTTACAGTTTTGTCTGCTATTAAGGGCCATCGAAGTACATTATCTACAACAAAACTTATACTAAAAATAGCAATATTTGGATGTTCTTACACTGGATATGATGATATAAGTACAGATATACTAGAGAAGATTCCTCATAGAGAATATTATCCTTTTCGATCTTAGCTTAAGGTATCATCACTTCATCAGCAGATGTTGGGCTAAATGAGGTATATACAGCAGTCTTGCAGACCAATACTATAAACACAAAAAATAGCAACGGCTAACACTAGTGTGTGCTGAGCTTGCTTAGAATTAGACAGCGAACTTACTTGGCAGTGTACAAGTATTTGAAACATTCTTGAAACATCAACAATTTCAGTAGCAGTGGTCGCAATTTTTACTATATCAGCTCCTGTTGCTTGAATCTGAGCCAACAGGCTTGCAAGCTCTTCTGCCGAAGGAGTGTTATCATAGTTATGGGATGAAACAATGAGCTTACAGTTTTCAGGTTTCTTTCCGGACATGAATTTAATAAATTTGTCAGCAACCTGCACAATAACAAGATTATTGTAAGCAGCTACCAACTTATTCATAGGTGCAGAAGGCAAGAGTAATATCCCCGAAACTAATCAATGCTAATTAGTAGTAGTGTCTTGTTAACCTTGGACAGGGTTCATCTTAGTGCACGTGCCTCTTAAGTTAAGAACTTGGTAGCATCAGCTCAAACTGGCACACACACACACACAAAGCCGGTGGAATATTAATTCTTCTATTCCAGAGCATAAAGATTTATTTGTCTAGTGAATTAGCCTTGTGATTCGATTCGCAGAAGAGAAAGAAATGTTTTACTAGGTGCAAACCTTAAGCTCAATATCAACGTATTCAGCTCCCAGTTCCATTGCCAATTGAAGTGCCTCAAACCGCGGTTCATCATCGCCTTCATATTCACCACCTTCCCACTTTGGCCTATGAAACCAACAGTAAGCAACATACATTTAGATGAGCCAGCGACGCAAAATCGACATGCAGTGTTTACACGCAATTAACCAAACAAGTGCATGCTGTTGTTTTGCTTATGATGATACATGGCGAAGTTATAAAAAATCCCCCATTAAGTTAAACCCCGCTATAACACCACCCAAACCAATCCAGATAAGAATCAACAGAGAAGCCCTCTGCTCCCAGGACTGGCCTAGATGAGATGATCCCCGGAGGGAGGTGGTGTGACTCACTCACCTGTATGTGACGAGGGCGGGGAGCGTGCGGGGCTTGGCGAGGAGCGCGGGCAGGTCCCGGCGCGGGGCGAACCCGGCTAGGCGGTCGAGGCGGAGCTCAGCCAGGTCGGCGCCGAGCGCGGCGGCGGCGGCCACCTCCGCCGCCATCTCCCGCGGCGCGCGCGCCGTGGCGGGCACGCAGAGCAGCGTCCGCGCCACCGCCGCCGCCGGCGGGACCACGGCCGACACCGACATCGCCGCCGCCATGGCCGTCGTCGTCAGAGGATGGGCCGCACGTCTTGGCGGTGGTTGGTGAGAAGGGCGAGCGTGCGCTTCAGCTCGAGGATGATGGATGCCTCGTTCCTTGGAACTGGCGGCTGGTGGAAGCTCCTGTTTCTTCAGTGGGCCGGGCGGTTGGTGGAGCTGAACCTGGTCTGACTGCCGTGCCGCGCCCGCGTTGGAGCAGGGCCATCGGCAAGCCTTTTTTTTTCTCTCTCTTCAGGATAGAATGAGTTTTTTTTTTTAGGTTACGATAGAATGAGCTCATGGCAACTGATCATCTGATCAAAACTTTTTTTTTTAAAAAAAGACCAATCCAAGGGCTAACCCTCGTTGACATTTTTTATAGAAAAAACTCCGTGAACACCACGCGTCCGAGCCGGGACTCGAACTCGGGTGGGCTGGCAGTAACCCCAACTGCCCAGCCAACGGGTCGACGCCCCGTCCTCATCTGATCAAAACTCCACCACTCAAATTTTAACAAGTTAGGCGAGTTAGTTTCCCCTCACATCAAAAACTTTTCCCATCTCCCTCCGGGGCCCCTACCGTGGGCGGCTCCGGAGAAGAAACCCTAGCCGTCCCTTCTCTCCTTGATTCCCTGGCTGCCGGTGGTGGTGGCGGCGCCCAATCATCAAAGGCCATGGGCAAGGGTTGCGCGCCCCGGCGGGCCTCCTCCGCGCGGGGGAGGCTTGTCAAGCAGGTGGCGCGGTGGTTGTCTCCGGTGTGGTGATGCATGTCGTGGAGCGCTGGGAGGGGTGGAGCACGATTGTAAGGTGAGGGGTGGCGGTCTTCTCGGGGCGCCGGTGTGGGTGTTGGAGGTCGCAACGCGGCGAGGCCTTGGTTGCAGCGGATCTCAGCTAGGTGTTGCGGTGGCCGGGAGTCGCTGCAGAGCCCGGGGCGTGCAGTGTGCCTCCTATTGACGCTGGTGTGGTTGTGGAAGGGGACGCCTTGGGGAGCCGATGGCTGCGCGGTCTAGATCTAGACGCTCGGACCAGTGACTCGCGATGGGAAGCGATGTGGTGGGAGCTTGCGCTCGCGTGCATGCGGTGCAGCTGAAAGAGCATGGTGTCACATGTTTGGTTTTGGTAATTAATGACAATCCATATGGACTAATGGTTGCCTTGAGTTATATTTGAAGGATTTGTTCATAGGCAATTCTTGAAGACCATATGTTAGCTTCAAGGTTGAAAGGAATAAATTATGTGTTGACCAAGGTGTTATTCAAGGAGTTATTCAAAGATTGGTCATGTGAGAGTTGAGCCAATTGCAAACATGCCTTGAATAAGAAGGCTGTGTGAACATTCATGTTTAACTTCAAGACATCATCTTAATGAAGAGAGAAGGTAATAAGATACAAGGGCGATCAAGTCAAAATACAAAGAGTGGATTCATGTTGACCAACACACAAAGCGCAGAAGATGTACTGAGTGGGATAATGTGATCCCATGGTATGGTAAGATTGTCCATTACGCTTTGTGTACTAACTCATGATCTATGTGAGGTTTATTTGTGGGGTTAAGCATATTTTCAAGTGCTTGCCTCAAAAGGAAGATCTCATATATCCCATGGAGGATGACATCAAGTGGTGACCATCATCAAAATTGAGTTGTGGAAGTTTAAGTGGAGCATCACAAAGAGATCACATGCCTTGAAGCTTGCCGCCCATTCTCGTGTTAATGGTCATGTGAAGATGTGCCTAAGAGAGGTTCACCCATAGTGGAGTATGGGGGAACAATTTGCTAGTCTTCATCGAGTCAGTGCAATCAAGAAAGGTGGTCCAACTTGAGGAGGTCAAGATTGTCATCATCTAGCTCCAGTGGATTATATGCAAGGCAAAGGTATAACCTTGATAGGTTGTAATGCCCCGAGACCGATGTGCCAGGTGTCCTCCAGTTATTCGCTGTTGTTACCTTGTCATTGCTTGCGTGTCATGCATGTCATATCATGTCATCATGTGCATTTCATTTGCATACATGTTCGTCTCATGCATCCGAGCATTTTCCCGTTGTCCGTTTTGCATTCCGGTGCTCCTATGTCATCCGGTGCCCCTTTCTACCTCTTTTCGTGTGCAGGTGTTAAATGTTTTCGGATTGGACCGAGACTTGTCATGCGGCCTTGATTTACTACCGGTAGACCGTCTGTCAAGTTTCGTGCCATTTGGACTTCGTTTGATACTCCAACGGTTAACCGAGGGATCGAAAAGGCCTCGTGTGTGTTGCAGCCCAACACCCTTCCAAAGTGGCCCAAAATCCACCTAAACCTCTTCCATCCTCTCAGTCGTTTGATCACGATCGCATGGCCGAAAACCGCACCTCATTTGGACTCTCCTAGCTCCCTCTACCTATATAAACACCTCCCCCTCCGAAATTCGCGGGCAAACCCTAGTCCTCTTCCACCTCGCGCCCGGACAAATCACCCTCGATGCCCGGACATGTCCGCCCGCCGCCGCGCGCCCAACCGCCGCGCGCCACGTGTCCGCCGCCGCTCCACCTCCGTCGCGGCCCGCGGGGCCCGAGGCCGGCCCGCACGGGCCCATCTCGCTCCGCCGCCCGGGAGAC